ACCCCATCACCCCTCTGCATAGCAGAAGTCCTGAAACACACACCTATCCAGTCTGGCAGACAGAACATGAGGGGGCTCCATGAGCTGCACTTTAAATGGAAAAGAGGCACTTGTGGTTTGTGAACTGCAGTTTGGCCATTCCTGTAATAACCCATTTTCACATCTATAACACCTGTCATCTGAGGGTCTTGCAACACTTGAACATTCTCCAGTTTCTCAGAGCATCATTGTGAGGAAGGCAGTTGTGATTTCCATTTTACGGATATAGAAAGTTAACCACAGATTTGTCCAAGGTCCCATGAGAATGATAGAGCTGAGAGTGCAATCCTGGCCTTCAGTTTCACAGTAATCATGCGATAGTTATTACCATATCATCTGTCTTTTAACTACATAGCTTATTTAGAACTGTTCAAATCTATTTAGTCAAAAGTCCACAGACTAAATAGAATTTAAGCAAGGAGCTGTTCAAACTGATTAATCAAAAATCCAATTGTGGGGTCTGATCCTGCAATTTTTGTTAAAACAAAACTCCCAAAGAAGTAATTGGGAATTTTTCTTGAGTAAGAACAACTAGCACCTTCAATAGAATAGTCAAATGGTCAAGGCAGTGTTGGACTTTACATTAGGGATGTGAAAAGTGAACCAGTTAACTGGTGATGCGTAACCTAAACAGGTGATGCTTACTGTTTCTAGTTTACCCGTCACCATTGGGGGCTGGAATAGCTCTCTGCCTGCCACCGGCAGAGGGCTACTCCAGACCCAAGAGGGCCTTCTCTGCATGGGCTGCTCCGGCATTGGGAGCAACCTCTGTCTGCAAGGAGCCCAGCTGTCCCCCAGGCAGGAGTTGCTTCAGCATTGGGAGCAGCCTTTGTCCACAGTGAGCTTGAGCCTGCCACAGGCAGGAGTTGCTCTGGTAGGGGGTAGTCCATGCCGGGGCTGGAAGCCAGCAGAGCCATCCCCAGCTCCAGCATGAGGACTGGGAGCTGATGGCAGCCTTAGCGTGGGGCTGGGACCTGGCAGCCAGGCACCGGAGTGGGACTCGAGGCAGGAGCCCCACAGGCTGGGGGCTGCTCTAGTTATGCTGGAGCGGTCCCCAACTCAGGTCCTGCTAAATTAACCAGTTAAACGTTAGGTTAACCTAACATTTAACTGATTAACTGGGATTTTACGTCCCTACTTAAGAATCAATGGACATGTGTTTGAAGAGGTTCAAACCCTTGCAGAGGTTCAAATACAAGGTGATGGGTTACAAAAGAGAAAACCTGATGGCTCTGTAAAAAATAAAGTTTACCAATGCAGACTATCAGTGAAATTTTATGCAGTTTGAACATTTGTACATGCCATAAAATATGTATTTCCCTAGTAGAGCAGAATAATTCCAAAAGCAGCACAGGGTTTATAATGATAAAAGTAGCAGGTTATATAATTGCCTATTTTCAATTATATAAACATAGTGCTTTTGCTTGTTACAGGTTTGGTAGCTAGATTACTAGATAATGCTGTACATCTTGTTGACATGGTTCATAACAATTTCTCATCTACTTCCCTATCACATACTTTGCAGAGAAGATAGTGCTGGTAATAGGTAACCAATGTATACAGTACATTACATTTGTGAATCTGAGACACATGGAAGAGTATGGTTTCTAGCGTGCTATGAGCAAATGAACTTCGTCTGACTAAGTCACTGAGAGTTTTGACACTGATTTTAGTGGGAATGGGATCAAATCATTAGTACATATAACAATATATGAATTGAAGCGGTATCCAGGCTAATGTTTTGATACCGCAACAAAACATGTTCTCAATAGTAATGTGTAAGTGTAAAACAGATGTAACTGTTGATAATGAGGGGGCATAATTTAAAAGTTGCAGAGATGGGCAGGTGACTGCCCCACACATCGCCTCTTGGTGCAGGAAACTTTTAACCCCACATCCCTTTTAACCCCACATCCCAATTTCATTGTTTCCTGGGGGCTGGAGTTACGTGAATGGGAAGCATGTAACTTCATAGAATCATAGAATATGAGAACTGGAAGGGGCCTCCAGAAATCAAGTCCAGACTCCTGCCCACATGGCAGGACCAAACACCATCTAGATCATCTCTGATATAAGTCTATCCAACCTGCTCTTAAATATCTCCAGTGATGGAGATTCTACAACCTCCGGAGGCAATTCATTCCAGTGCTTTCAACCACCTTGACAGTCAGGGGCGGATATAGGGCAGGGCAAACGGGGTGGCTGCCCCGGGCCCCGCGCTTCAAAAAGCCCCGCACATGCGCTGTGGCGCCACCGTGCATGCGCATGGCATCACTGCGCATGCGCCGTGACAAAGGGGGGCCCCGTGAAATTTTGCTGCCCGGGGCCCCGCAAAACGGTCATCTGCCCCTGCTGACAGTTAGGAACTCTGGGCCAGCCCCTGGTGGAAGGTGGGGAAATAGCGCACAGCAGCAAAGTTTCTATCTGAAGCTCCTATGCCCTCAATGACACCTCACTTAAGCTGAGTCCCTAACTCAGGCTGAGCACAGGGAATCCGATCCTGGTGGATTCCCTTGCGCCCATCTTGGGACTGCTGCACTCTCCCTCTCTACCAGGGTTAACTGCCACATGGGCCACCACTGCCTCCCTAGTTGGATCCCCAAATGTAGGCACTACCATACTGCACAGAGGCAGTGACTCAGACAGGCCACCATCACCCAGCAGGAGAAGTGGCGCCATCCTATTCTGCTTTCTGCCCAAGTCTGGCTGCCAGGCAGAGAGGTCATGCAAACCAGAAACACTGGGGGCGGGAGGGGAGGGTGCCGTATGGGAATGATAGATCCAGGCCTGTCCCTAGAGATGCCTGGGCAACCCCTCCTCAGTGCTTCGGGTGCAAGGCCCAGGGCAACCTCCCCACCACCACAGGTGCCGCTCCACCCAGCCTCTGCTCTGTCTCCCTGCCCCATCCCCATTCCACACCTTCCCCAAGCCCTGCCCATACCTCTCCTATTCCCAGTGCACCGCTTGTCTGAAGCCCTCCTCCCCCAAGCAATATGAGCTGGGGGATAACTGGGGGGCCTGGCATAAGATGGCAGCAGGGGGTTGGGACTCTCCTCCCTTGCACTAACCACAGCAACAAGAGGTGGAGCTACAAAGCAGTCTGCTCCACTCCAGACCACCACCCATCTTCCAGCCCACAGTGCACTGTTTTACTGATGTGGTAAGTGTGGGACAGACCTACCCTGCCACCCCAGGTAATTCTCTGGGCTGCCCTGAGCTCCATCCATGTAGGGCCTGGAGAAGCTGCCCTAAACTGTCCTATGGATAGAGTTCCTCCCACCTCAGCAGGCCAAGCAGAGCAAACCTTGTGGTAAGGCAATTCAGTGCTCATGGAAATCTGGGGAACACTTGACCCCATGAGTCCCCCTCCAATGCATCACTTCTGATGGAAAACATAACATAAAATATGTAGTGTCTCATTCTTTTGGAAGTGATGGAGAAAAATCTCATTTGTGAAGAAATGATTCAATTGACCAAAATGGGTATAAATGTCAACTTCAGAGGGCTCTTATATAAGTATTTATTTGCTCATAAGTTCTTAATGTGAAACAATGCTAGATGAACACATCATCTGTATATATCGGTTGGACCTCGCTGGCCTGGCACCCGCAGGGCTGACTGCTCCTGGATGAGGGATTTTGCCAAACCAAGGGAGGTCGTTTCTGGCCTCCTTGCTGCTGGTCCTATCCCCTGCCCTGCTACCCCACCAGGCTTCCCTGCTCTCCTGGCAGCTCAGCTGCGTCATGAGTTGGGCTTCCTGTCCCTACCCTCCGATTCCCAGTCTAGCTGGGCCACGGCCTTCCTGGCTTTCCCGCCCCCAGCCCAGCTGAGCTATGTGCTGGGCTCCCCAGCTCTCTTGGGCAGCCCAGCTAGGTCGCATGTGCCAGGTTTCCCACCCTCTTCCCTCCACAGCCCAGTTAGGTGTCATGCTTGCCTTCCTAGCTTCCTCCCCCCTCAGCCCACTTAGGCTTCTGGCCCCTGCCTGCATTGTGCTGAGCTCCAGGGTCCTCCCCCACCCCTCACCCCCACACACAAAGCCTGTGGGGACTCTCTAAATCTGGAACATCTGTGGTCCTACTGGACCACAGATATTGCCAGACCAGAGAACTCCAGTTTATAGAGGCGCAACCTGTATAATAAAATGCTAAATACTGTCCTTCCATTTATGTTTTTACAGAAAGGAAAGGATTTTGGATATTTTCCAAAGAATGCAGTTCAGATTGAAGAAGTTTTTATTACACAAGAAGTAGAAGTGCCAACTAAGGTAAACTAATATCACCAGTCTTCCCTGTATACTGATGACCAGCTGAAATTCTGTGATATATGGGTAGAAACTCAGGTGTCATTACAAGTCTTCTTTGTTCTGTATGTGTTTCTCTTGTTATTCTACCATTTATATATGTGTATTGCTCAGATACAGATCTCTGTTAAGAAGTTTACATCCAAATATTATATCAAGTAAGACAACTAGTGCCATGAGGAATAACCAGATTACTCATATTTCCTCGTACAAGGCTATACATGCATTATATTGTACAGAAGCAGAGTAGATAAAATGAGTATATTATTTGATTACAAAATACAAACATTTGTGCACATAATAAAAAGGTGAATATTATTCTTTTAGGAAACTGATTTCCTTTGTCTTGATGGAGGTGAATACCTTTTGGAAAACAAAGATAGTGTATTGCATGAACATAATGAAGAAAGTGAATATCCATTATTTGACACAGAACCCGAATTAAAGGTGCCCGAAGGTGAGCTCCAAAAACAGACCAGTATTTCCTTCCAATTGGAACATGGAATTGAGTCAGTTCCTGAAAGTGATGAATTAGCCAGAAAATTCAAAGACCTTCACATGCAGGAGAAGACTGACAGCAATAAATTGTCCATAAAGAGCAAGAATGGAAAAGATGATGCTATTCTGCAAGAAGCTAAAAGCAGTTACCCATTGAAACCAGCTCCAATACAATCTACTTGGACTGTTTCTGGTGTTGTAGGATGGTTTGGCCTAGGAAGTAAACAAGATGAGGAAGCCTTGGTAACAATTACTGAATCTGTAGAAGAAAATACATTCAGAAGCAGAAAAATGGCCATAACTGATGGAAGTGACATGAAAGAACCAAATGATGAGGCTAAACCAGAGCCTTCTGGCTGGTTTCAGAATAGACTGACAGATTTATTATATTTTGGTAGAGAGAATTCAGATCTTACTTTGCTGAACAAAGAAAATAGTCCACAAATCCATGACAGTTCTAATAATGTTGCACATTCCGAATTTGAAGAAAGAACTATAGCTGCAGAAACTTCAACGGAAGAAAAGCAAAAGAGTGACAGTGAAGTATCCAAATCCAGCTGGCTTAATTTCGGCTTAAGTGATGTTTTAACATTTGGGCATGCTAAGAAAGAGAACCCTATAACAAATGAGGGACAAAGCAGGGAAATGGAGGTTGCAACAGGTAAGAATGAAGAAATTCAGACTTTGAGCCCACAAGAAACTGAATCTGAGCCAGACAGAGAACTGAAGAAAGAAACAGCTAAAGTAATAAGCGAAAAACAAAGTAACAAGAAAAATTATGTACAAGAAATATTAGTTTCAGAGAATAAAACACCAACTTCTGGGGAGCTGCCAGTAAATGAAGATAATCCTCTCAACTTAGAGAGTCCCCAAAATGCAGCGGAGTCATCTTTTACAGAAATAGCTGACAAAGACAAACTAATTGATCCTTACAGTTTAGAACAAGACCCTGTATCAGAAACTCATGTTATGGAAAACACTGAAGTTAAAGAGATTACTCAGGAGTCAAAAAGCATAAATGGCCAGTCAGGTTGGTATGAAAATATATATAGTAACTTCATTACTTTTAATAGGGACACATTAGATAGTGAACAGGGGCTGGAATCTGTGGTTGCTCATGACACACAGGAATCAGTTACATTCCAGCCTGACTCTTTTCCCAGTTCACCTCAGAACTTAGACCCCACTGTTGCTACAAATTCAGAAGAAGAACATGACAGGTTTGAAGAATCTCAGTCTGTTCTCTCACTTAGTCATTTTACAAACATACTGAGTTTTCACAGTTTAACAGCCAAAGTGCAGGAATCTGTGCAAAGTGCACAGGTGGATTTGAACTTTAGTGAAGAATTCTCTCAATCAGAAAATCATAATGAAATATTACAAGGAAGTAAAGAAACCACAGTGAAATTGCAAGCAAATCAGAGGATTAGTGAGAATGTGCAAGAGAGGAGAAATATAGCAAAGTCTCAAGAAAGTGTTCTGTTGTCCCCATTAGCAATGCAAGGTAATGCACAAAGTAATGAAAAAACTATACAAGATGCCAGATTAGTAAAAGATAGCAATACCTCACCTCTTTTATCTGTAGAATCCCAATTAGAACCTAAAATCTCCCAAGTTCAACACTCACAAATAACTAGCTATTCAAACTTCAAAGAACCCATTTCTGATGATAGTGAAAGACAAGAATTTTCTAATATAAAAGATAACAGTGATGTCCCTCTCTTCAAAGACCATCAGTGTGTATCTTTAGATTTAAAGTTAGAAAATACAGTAGTTTCACCAGTACAACATAAATATGTAAGTGAAGATTTTTATTCTAGTGAACAGCATGTGTTATCAAAAGAGAAACCAATTGAACATAAAGAGGACAGAGGAGATAAGAATGAAGAAATGCATTCTTTAAAACGACAGGAAACTGAAACTTTCATAGAGAGGAAGTCAAAAAGAGAAATAGTTGAAACGATGCAAGATGAAGAACAAAATAATCTGAAAACACATGAACAAGAATCAGTAGATTCAGAATGTGAAACACCAACTTCTAGGGAGTTGCTAGCAAATATAGATAATCTTCTGAACAGCCAGAAAATCCTAAATGAAGCTGAGTCACCTCTTACTCAAGAAATATCAGACAAAACCAAACTTACTGAGCTTTACAGTACAGAAAGTCAAATAATAGAAAGCACTGAAGTAAAAGAGATAACAGAGGAATCAGAGAGAAAAAATGACCAGGCAGGTTGGTATGAAAATAATTCTGGCAACATAGATTTTAATATGGACATAGCAGATGATCGAAAGGAACAGAAATATATTGTTTCTCAAGACACAGAAGAATCTATTGCAGCCCAGCTTTTATCTTCTTCTCGTTTATCTCAGGATTTAGACACAGATGATAATTTAGATAAAGAAAAGCAAGACCAGTTTGAAGAGCCACAGTCTGTCTTCTCTTTTAGTCATTATAAACACTTACTGAGGTTCCAGAGTTTTGCAACCAAAGATGAGCATTCTCTGCAAAGGCAATCAGGGATACTGAGCTTCAGTGACGAAAATGGCCAAATTACAAATGGCGATGAAATATTACTAGGAAACAAGGAAATTGAACTTAAAGTCCAAACAAATCAGAAGATTAATGAGCAAGTACTAGAGAAAAATGATGCAGACATTGCCAAAGAAAGTGTTCTATTTTCTCCGTTGACAATGCAAAATATTGAACAAGATGGTGAAAACATAATGAAAGAGACTAAATTAGTAGATGATAGCTCACTTCTTTCATTTACAGAATCCCAGTTAGAACACAGAGTAGACCCTTTATTTACATATCTAAAATGCAAGGAACACAATACTAAATGTAATGAAAGAGAGGAATTTTCTAATATAAAAGAGAAAAGTGAATTTTCTATTTTAGAAGATGAGCAGCAGGTGCCTGTAGAATCCAAATTAAATATTAAAGATTCACCAGAGCAACATGGATCATTCTATGAAGATTCTTATTCTAATCCACAAAAAACTAGTAAAAAGGAAGAAAGGCAAGATTACACAGATGAAAATTTTTCAGAGGATAATGGTCATGAACGTGACATTGATTACATTGCTAACACAGAGAAAGTTCAAGATTCAGACCAATTATCTTCTCTAGAAGTTGATGAATCATCAAAATACCATTTAAATAATAAAGTACGGGGACAACATATTACTTTAAATTCTGAAGAAGAAAGAGAATTTACTGATGTGGAATATACTGAAAATTATTCTCACAAAAGTTTGCATGTATCACTAGATTCCATAAAAGATCATGTTTATTATTCAAATGTTGATGATGTATTAGACAAAATTGTAGTTAATAGCAAAGACATGAGTCAGGTTTCCCAAGACATAATAAAACATGTTTCAGAGAGTGGTGGAAACAACCTAGAAGACAGTGAGCAAATGATAAAAACATATGAGCCAAATAAACTCCAGTATGAAAAAAGAGCAAATATTTTGGCTACCCAAGAAACACTTTCAGTAGCTAAGAAAATATCTAAGGAAATAATACAAAATGAAAATGCAGTTCTTGAGCAAGACAGTCACACTTTAAATGATTTACTGTATGGTTTGCAAAGCAAAGGTAATGAAGTTCCACAATCTTCTGTGCTATTTCCACAAGAGCAAATATATGAAGAATACAATAAAAGAGAACTTATTTCAAATCCCTCTGATCAACATTCTGATGATACTAGAATGCGTGATGATTCAGTAACAGTAAATATTCATAATGAACATGTCTTACAAGAACAAATTATAGCACCTGATGCTAGCACTGATACTTTTCCAGAAGAGGAGCAGCAATCTCAACAAATTTCCATGCATATACAACATCATAAGAAAGAGCCAACAGAAATAACAATGGATGATTCATCTTCTCAACATGAGACTCTGATATCAGAATATAGAACTGGAGATAATACTGATTCAGATTCTGGTAAGAAATATAAAAATCAGGTGCTACATAATACAATAAAAGAGTCTTACATATCGTCAAATTTAGAAGTACCCGAGTCCAGCAGTTCAAGTCATCATGAAGATACAGAAAGCACCAATACTGAAAATGAATCTGAATACCTGAGATCATCACATCATCATTCAAATGACAATGTAACATCAAAGTTACTAGATGTAGCAGAATCTCAGAAAATGTCTGAAGAAAGTTTAGTAAAAGCAACTGCAGAATCCAATCATATTCTACTTACTGGAGATGAGCATTTATTCCAAGAAAAATCTAGAATAGCTGAAAACTCTGAAAAAATAAACCTACCATTACATTTACAATCTTTTGAACATACAGAATTGCAAAGTCAGGCACCTCTTAAAAATCATGGTGGTTCTACTCCTAACAAGCCTTTGTCACATATTCCGCATGATTATAATTCAGCACACAAGCAAGCAGAACATTTTCCTTCACAAAGTGAAGGAAAGAGCTTGGATACACTCAGTTTAAATGCTGTGAAACGTAGAGATCTGAATAATGAAAGACATATTGACAGGGAAGATACTCTTCCAAATGAAAACTTAAATCGTATAGAAAAATTAACTACTGCTGAAAAAGCAAGAGATAGTAAGAAAAAAAGAAAAAAAGATACTGAAGATCAGAGAAAAACAGACTCCCAAAATATAAATGATAAAAATGGCATAGTGACAAAGGAGACGGTGGGTAGTATTTTTACAAAAACTTCAATGTTTCTTGGAAGTTTGTTTAGTAAAAATAATAATGGTGACTTTAGAAGAAATTCTGAACATAAAAGTCCTGGCCTAGACACAAATGAAAATAGGGAAGATATTAGAATAGATGAGATAAAGGCAGAATGTAATAATATGCAAATAAGAGAGACTGAATTAAAGGAAAATGAATCTGAACAAGAGAAAGACACAGTTCAAACTGCAGAAGCTACCAATAACTTAAACATAGATCATATAAAAATGCCAAAAGATAGAGCTGAGGAAGAACAACATGGCATTCAGGAAAAAAATATTATTACATCAGAAACAGGAACAAACAACAAGGAAACAGATAAAACCATAGTCTGGAAGACAGAGTCTGTGTCACAGAAAATAAGGAAAGAAGTCCAAAGGTTAATTGAAGGGGACACAGATACATCCAACCCATTTGTTGCATACCAACTTTATTCAAAATTGTCTCAAGAAGTGAACCAACGTTTAAAAAATCTGTGTGAAAAAAACAAACTGTTGGTGCTAGAGCAACAGTTTAAAAAAGTGCAGCATGATATCACTACTTCTACATGTGAAGACACTCTCATACAGAATAAACATGTGATTGTCTCTGTGGAAGAGGAACATAATCTGGGCACTGGCTATGACAAATGTATGAAGGAAAAAATGAATTTTCTTCTAGAGCTACAAGATCTTCTGTCAGCCATCAGAATGAAGTGTGAAACCCAAAATTCAGAATCAGGTACTGGACTACTGCTTTACTAATTAGCGGTGATATAACAAGAACAATGCGTGCTTTGTGTGAAAAAAATGTAGGACAGGTGTGACACTTTGTTCAGATCAACACTAGTGAACTTAGATACTAACTATTAACAGGTGATTATAGTGCAGCTATTTAACACTTTCTTTGAGGAATATATGATTCCTTATATCATACTACTTACAGGTTATGGACATCAATATGTAATACAAAATACGGCTAAGGTATTTCTAAAAATAAATGGAGACCACCTAAAATTAAGAGATCAAATATTCACAATTAATCCAGAGGTGGTCCGTCTTCCTTAGGTTCTCTCGCTTGATCCAAATCTCACTGAAGTTAATGAGAGTCTTTCCGTTTATTTCAGTGGGTATTAGAATAGGTTATCTGTTGTTACACTTCACACCATAGGCTGTTATTTTAGTCTGGTGATTGATTGATTTCAAAAGGGAGATTTAAAACTACCTTACCATGGTTCTTTTTTATAATCAAACCAATTGTAATCAAACTCTTGATGCCACTGCATATTTTGATTCCAGTATTCATTAATGTTGTTAAGAAGTATCAAAGTGTATCATATTTGTGTGACTAGTGTTACCATCATTTAAATGATTATTCTAAAAAAGTAAGTAAAATATTAACGTAATTGATTAATGTAGTTTTTATAATAGGACAAAAATTAGATAAAGCTACTGAAGCCAGTGAAGTTATACCAAAAATGAATTTGGCCCAATGGATCAAATATTCTATATCCTTTAAAATTATGCTCACAGTTTCATACCTCCAATATTTTTCACTCAGTGGTGCCTACAGACTGGGTAGTTAAAGATATAACTACATACAAATCCAAAGTTTTGCGTTACACAAAAATCTATGCATAACAGGGGCATATGCATGTGCTGTTTCAGTAGCCAAACAAAGGCTTTGAAAACATGGCCCAATTAAGGTATTTTCTAATGTATAACATTTTTACATGAATAAACTTAATTATAATTAATGGTAATCCTTTGTTTCTAGCACATTGCTAATTCTCCTTAGCTTACTAATTTTGGCTGCATTGTATTTTTATATAGTAGCTGTATTTCCAGAGCTGCCGTGAAAAAATAATTAATGCTTATTTCCTTTTTGTGGTTGGAAACATTTTGTTTTTTGATGCCTTCTTCTGCTTGGTTAGTCTAAATCACTGAGTTAATTGAAGAAATCAAATCTTAGGATGGCACAAGTTACTCCAGTTATTTTTTCTCTGTCATCATATATTAATATAATGCAGAGTGGTGACATACAGTAATTTCCAATTGCTTCACAAGATTATGAAATTATCCATAAAATTGAGTTAATCTTATTACAGTGGCAGTTTTGTTAATTATATGAGCTTTTGTGATGCACTTCAATATGTGCAGTTGTGTGCTACTACCATTCATTGCTCACAAACATGTCTGTGTTTGTTCTTTATGCATATAACCTTTACAAGGAAATGTAATGGAAAATGGTTAATCTTTAGTCCTTTATGAATTATTTTTTCCTGGCTATTACAGTTCTCTTCCTTGACTTTTCCTCTCTGATATCGGAACATAAAATTTAAAATAGAGACCAATTCTGGAAGAGTATTCCAAACAGTATTGATCAAAGACAAAATGTACTTTTTCTAAATATTGAACTATATTTTGACCTTAATTACATCTGAGTAATACAAATTTTGCCTAGTTACATCTGTGCAGCCCCATTCTGAGACCAGAATTTGGCCAAATGTATTTTAGAATATAGATTTAAAGCTTGTGAGTGCTATAATACACCTTTTGTAAATATAACCTTGTCCTGACAATGGTTCTTATATTCCTGTCAGGTTACTTATTATATCATCTTGTCATATGGTGACATCAGAAAATTAACCTTTTTAATCATTAAAACAAATCCATTTGTTTAGTGTTTTTTTGGGGGAGGGGAGAGAGTGTCTTTGGCAGTTGCCAGTGACAACATTCTAGAACAGAGGTCACAAACTCATTTTACCTTAGGGCCAGTGCCAGTCCTCAAATCCTTCTAGCGGGCCAGTAGGCCTCCCTTTTGGCAGGAGTCTCTGCATTTTCCCCCCATGTCTTCTGGCCCATCCAGCTGGTTTGCACTTTTCCCAGACACATGCATCCCCGAGCGCTGCCTCCTACCTTTGGGCTATTTAAAACCTGCCTGTGGCCTCTGTCCCCATCTCTGGCAGGCAGCAGGGTTAGAGTGGCTTCCTGCTGCTAACTCCATAACGCCTCCAGCACATCCCTATGACCCAAGGAAGATGCATGCAGAGCCATCCTATCCATAAGTGTAAGCTGTGAAACTAACACCTCTTTTAGTGAAACTGACTAGATATCAGGGATGCCAACTCTCCTGATATGCTCACAAACCTCCTGATAATTAGGGCTTTTTTTGTCCCCTGGAAAGTCCCAGCCATGTTATTAGAATTAAGCCAGATCTGGGAACTCCACTACTTGATGCCTCAAGCACTGCTGTCAACTGCGATTGCTCTGATTTAGTAGATTTTGTTTGTTGGTGCATGCTATTACAAGAGAAACACAGCCTTTTTTCTTTTCTTTTTTTTTTTTTTCTTCAGCATCTGAGGAAGTGAGTTGTAGTTCATAAAATCTTCTGCTCTAATTCCCTCATAAATTTGTTAGTCTAAAATGCCACCGGCACTTGCTGTTTTCAGTAAGAGAGTCTGGATTAATTATAAAAGCATTGGAATTTGAGATTTCAAGAAGCTATTTTCTTTTTTGAGAGGCGTGGAAGGGCAGGCTGTTTCATGAGTTTTGAATGCTTGGGGTTGTCAGTACAGTAACTACAAGTAGATAGTTTCTCCCTCTGTGTCCAGAGCCCAAACAGAGACCAGGATCCTTCGAAAGACATAAAACTGAGTCCTAACCCTAACATCCTGTATCCTCGTGGTGGGATGCCACTCCACTAACATTTGCACACTGGAATCCTGCCTGCTCCCGTCTTGCTAATATCCATGTCCCTGTGCTAGGATTCCTTGCCCCTGCCAAGGGTAATCAAAAGTGAAATCCACCAGCCCCACGCCGCTGGCTGCAGAAGCGGGCAGCTTGAGCGGCTCCTTTGCCAGTGTAGTTCTCATTCTTGCAGAGGCAGCCAGCACAGCTTCCTGGACCAAGCGGCAGCTTCTGCAGCTGGGACAATGTGAGGTGCTAGGGGTTAGGGTGCTGCTGGGAACCATGTATGAGGGTGAGTACCTGTGTTCCACACCTCCCTACTCCTGGGCCACCAGCCAGGTAACTTTGTGGGCCTGCTTAGGTAACTTTCAAAATATTTTGTGTGTCAGTTTGGGGAAGTGCTAGAGCCACAGATGGGCCCCAGACTGAGAGTTTGAGACCTTTGTTCTAGAGTCTGACTTTAAAAATTAGGAGGAAATCAGAAACCAAAATAATAACAATGGGAAATAATCTTATAAAAATTTAACATGCAGAAAATATTATTGATGAGAAGACTGATTCCACTTCATAATTATTTCCAGATATATCTGATGAGAGAAAATTATCAGACAAAGCTCCAAGAGAAGACCATAACATGAATACAGCTTTGCACAAAGAACATAACAGTGACCAACATGAATCAAAAGTAACAACAATTGCTCCAGTAAATGCTCAGGAGAAAATGTACACGTCAGCAAAAAATGTTCTGTTAGGTGCTAAAAAACCTTTATCACAGATATTTTTCCTGATTCAAAACTATATTCCTAATAATGGTAAGTATGAAGTTGTTTGATCTGAAAATAAAAATGAGTTATTAAAAAGATAGTTTGATAAATACAAATAATTTTATTTCCTTATAAATTAACAGAAGACTGGATATATCAGATTCTCCTACATTTTAATGGAATTGATGTTGGTGATGCTGTGCAATCTGTATTTTCAGCAATGGCAACTGTTAGCAAAAAGGTAAGATTTTGTTTCTTTAATATTTTAACAACACAGGGAAATTGGAATTGAGCCTGGTTCTGTTGTTGTTAGTTCTGCAACTCTTCTGGAGTTGGAGCTGGAACTAATAGCAAAATTGTGGTAGATTATCTTCAGTGTGGCCTGTTTTTATGCTGAAGAAGCAATTAGGGAGAGCAGAATTTTCAAACCTGTCCATAAGGTTGATTCACAACTGTTATGGGGATGAAGCAGGAAATACCACATTAATTCCTGTTTAATTTGGCCCCTTACTGCTCCTGCAGAATCCTCCTAAATGTATTTAGTGCCTGTACATTCATATGCGCATTTATAGAATAGCCAAAAAAAATACTTGTTAAACACACCAGCATCTTTTATCTATTTTTGCTCCGACTCCCATTTAAATCATTGGTAAAATTCCCTTAGATTGGGTTGGAGATTGAATGAAAAAAAATGGTACTTCAATCTTGTACTGGTGATTTTGATTTTACACAAAAAATACCAGAACCAAAAAATTTAAACATTTAGTTACTACAGTGACATAACATGATCCTCTTGTGAACATATTCAATGTACAAAAGCTAGCACAATATATAAAATAATATAAAATGCAAGGCACAATGGATATGGGAACTATAATTTTGTATTTGCTGTAAAATCTACAAATGTAAAATCTCCATCAGCAAGTTGTGCTATTATAGATTTTGTTTTCTTCTTTTAGTATATAGAGTAAATCAACTGTTCTCAAACTTGGGAGAAGTACCACTGAAGGCACACGGGCCACGTTTAGATGCTGGCCAAGAGATGATTTTAAAAGATAGTCATAACCCTCCTCATCAAAATGTGCAGTCAGATAGAAG